GAGGGTACGTGCAGTCGCTCCATTCACGCGTTAATAAACTTGAACTGTGGCCGTTTCTGCTGTGTGTGGCGAGGCGTGTAAAGCAAGAACTGTAGTACAGGAAGGAGGGTTGGTAGTTAAAGGCTATTTGTATGAATTAATGCTAAAGAAAAGGAGCTGCTTGACAGACTGAGGAATTGAAATCCATTACAGATTGAAAAGGAAACATGCGGGTTCAGAAAAGGCAGCGGCAGCAGCAGCTCCTCGGTGCTGCCCCCATCAACATTACTGTGGAGACGCCGTGCAAGGGGGGACCCGGTCGCTCCCTCCGCCTGTGTCGGCCGCGGGGACTGCCCACAGGCTGCCAGCCGCTGAGCTGCACTTCATGGGTCTTTGCTCACATGCATATTTGTCCTGCAGAGGTTAGGCTGAGTCCCATCAAACTCATTTCACAAAATAATCACTCATTTCTAACAAACAGTGTAGAAAACTCAATCTCAAAAGAGACAGAGAAGCTCGATTTTTCTTCTTCCTCTACATCTCTTTAGTCTATCTCTTGTGCTGGGAGATGAATGGTTCGGATGTGTCTGCAGTAACACGGGCTTGGCTAATCTTCCTTTCTATTGATGACCTGTTTCTGAATGTCCTGGCCTGATTTATGAAAACGTACTGTACTTTGCACCGTGTTTTGATGTTGCTCTGTTAGGACTGCATGCAAACTGCAGCAGAACAGTGCTGCTTATTCATTCAAACAGTGAAGGGCTGGCTGGGAACTCAATGAGCTCATAGTTGTTGTCATCCTCACTTACAGAAAGGGAAACAGGAGAAAGCGGGTATCCCAAGCCTAGTCATTCTTTTCCAGACCATCCGTTTGTTTTATAAATCATAATCTTGAAAGCACAAGGTTGTGGTATTTATTTAATCATTCATACAATTGGTTTTTAGGGTTGGATTCTTTTTTTAACACTCCCTTTCTGTAATAACCCCCAATAAAGTTGGAACTGAAGTCTGTTTGGCTGCCAAATTTTCTTTCTCTTGCTATTGCTTGAGCATTAATGAATTTAAAATCCGAGAGGCTGGTTCCCATCTTTTACTAGCGTAATTCAGCAGTTACCTCTAGTCTCAGGCTTGCTCCCATCCCTGCGTGCTGAACTGCTTTTCACATGCACTCAAACTAATAAAAACAACAGCAAAATCCCACCTGTGCTATCTAGGTGTGCTTCAAAAGCCACTGCTCAGGCAGCGAAGCCTTACTTCAGTGGAAGGATGTTCAGCAG